CACTAACAGTGTGCGTGTGAGCTGGGGTCCACTGCTGCCTCACCTCATACAGGGCTACCAGCTGGAGTATTCAGCGCTTCCTACAGGCCCACTGCGGGTCATCAGCGTCAGTAACAGACAGAACAACACAGTCCTGACCGGCCTCCAACCCGACACACAGTACCTGGTCACCGTGAGCGCGAGACAGTCCTCCGGCAGAGAGAGAGCCATGACGGTTAAAGTCTGTACACAGGAGGGTAAGAACCAACAGATTACGCATCTCATTATCAGTGCACTTTCCTTTTGTAGTAAAATTACAGATTGCAGTTACACTCTTAAAAATAAAGGTGCTTCAAAAGGTTCTTCAAGCGATGCCATAGAAGAACCATTTTTGGTTCCACAAAGAACCATTCAGTCAACGGTTCTTTAAAGAACCATCTCTTTCTTACCTTTTTATAATCTGAAGAACCTTCTTTCGCCACAAAGAACCTTTTGTGAAACAGATGTTAAAGGTTCTTTATGGAACCATTTAGACAAAAAGGTTCTTCTATGGCATCGTGAAGCACCTTTATTTTTAAGAGTGTATATGAATTTAAGTTCACTTTAGTTCTGCTTCCTTAAACTCAAATGGCAATTCTTCTCCTTTAAATACAGGAAATGAATTAGAATTTATAAAGCATTCTCAATTTAATTTATAAAATGGAGATATCTAGTTATTAGTTACTTATTTGTCATTCTGATGAATTCATTTGGTTTCTATAGACTGCTGATGTTTTTTTGTAGGCCAACCTGGAAGTTAGTTCTGTGACCAACAAAAGTTTATAATTCTTACAAGTTTTATTTAAATAATCTTTACAAATGAACACAACTTTTATGAATTTTGACGAATTTTATGAATTAGGCTATAAACGGTCTGTAATATTTTTCAATGTTTTTGAAAGAAGTCTCTTCTGCTCACCAAGGCTGCATTTATTTGATCACAAAATTCAGTAAAACAGTAAAAATTTGAAATATTATTATAACTTCAAATAACTGTTTTCTGTTGTAATATATTTTAAAATGTAATTTATATCTGTGATGCAAAGTTGAATTTTCAGCATCATTACTCCAGTCTTCAGTGTCATATACATATATTGGACTGACACCAAACGGTCATGTAATAAAAATTATTAATGATGCAAATACATTTTCATTGAAATATTGATAACGTGTGGTATTAGCTAAGAATTAGAAGCATTTGGAATGAGATGCTTTCCAATGAGACCACCCTATTTTAATGTTCCTGCCAATTTCATTCCCACATCCCCTCCCTCTGATTCCCAGCAAGAAACGGGAAGCCTGACCTCTCTCCCTGTTTCTCTCAGTGTTGCCAGCTCTCTCAGATCTGCAGCTGACCACAGTGGGCAATGAGTCAGTGCAGCTCCGCTGGAAGGGGAGTTATGATGGTCTCCGTGGTTACTGGGTCACATGGGAGCGAGGTCACAGCCAGCACTCCACCCTGTACCTACCACCCAACCGGCTCTCCACCACCCTCAACCATGTGCCCTCCAGGGCCCGCGTCTGCGTCTCTCCGGTGTACCGGACGGCCCGTGGGGAGGGACTCTGCTGCACTGCTTAAATGGGCTCCGGTGAGATGCCTGTCAGGGAAACATGGGGATTATGGGTTATTTTAAATAATAAGCATCTTAAAGTTGCAGTATGTCATTTTTTTAATGTACTGAAGCATAAAAATACCATAATATGATTGCTTCTCTGAAAAACAACACTACAACTAGTTATTCCACTTTGAAATGTGCGTTCCGTGTCGGGATGTCTGTTTTTGTTTTGGTCTGTGTGATTCGGTCCACTGCCAATTTAACCAATGGTATTTTCGACACCCCGGTTTGCCAGTTGGCGGAAAACACCGCGTATTGCAGCCATGGAAGCCAGCAAAAGAACTGGGTAAAATATCGCAGATTCTACCTTACTTTAAAAAGCCTCGGCATCCATTTAAAACATACTTTGAGAAATGGCATAATAAAACACGGATAAATAAACGCATCAACTTAAAGTATAAGGCTTGTCGCTATTGTTTCTGTTGCGAGTCCTCAATCTGGCAACCCGTGAGATTGTTGATTCTGAGGAAGAGGGGGGTGGGAGAAACGACTCTCTGTAATATTTTGAATTTGGACTGCAGTTCCCATTTCAACCTCTAGCTATCAATATTACATACCGCACCTTTAACCCTGTAAAGCCTGGCATAATAAATAATAGCCTGAAAAAAGCAACTTAATTGAACTGTAGACAAAACCATAAAACACCTATACAAAAAAGTTTGCATGTATTTTTTGTTGAGTATCTTATTTATCAGGCAAATAGGAGAATGTGGAGGTCAAGCAAACCCAAGTTGCTTCAGCCCATCTTGAAATATTACTAACAATATTAAAGTTATTCTAGTTTACTTTATAAAAATCAGTAAATAATTCACAGCAAAAAGAAACGCGAACCACAACCTGAAGGGGGACTTTCTTACAATGATACTTTTTTACTTGATAAAAAAGTATAAACTATCATTTAGATGACTGAAGGCATGTAGTAGGTTGTGTACAGCAGGGTTTTTTTTAGAGACCTTTGCATATCAAATATGATACTGTAGGCTATTTAGGGTTAAAAGGTGAAGTGAGTAATTTTACCACAGAATTGCATTTGTAATAACAACAGCACCTTCTGTTTGTGTTACCGCAAAGCTGCGTTGACCTGGAACTGTGGTGCACCGCTCTGCCAAACACGAAAGATGGAGGGTTGAACAACACCAAAAACTTCCCACAAATGGACAGATGGGAAGACAAGGGAGTCCAGGACACTGTAGCTGTTTGAATATTCATCACCCATAGATGGTGATCTTTAAACACCCCAACACAACATGCACTGACACGCAAACCCCAAACCACACTTCTAATATAGGAGGCTAAATGAGTCTGAACTCAAAAGTGACCTTCTGAAGAATCAGAGATTCAAAGGAAAGTTTTGGGTTCAAGTTCAGTGCAATTGACGGCTGAGATCTGTGGCTTGCTGTGCATAGCCGTAGACCATTTCTGAGTTTATATCTCGCAATTTATATCTTGAGTTTGTTTCTTGCAATTCTGAGGAAAAAGAAGAATTGCGAGATATAAACTCACAATTCTTTTTTCTCACAACTGAGATTATATCTGACAAATGTTTTTTTTTTTTATCAGAATTCTGTGTTTACATCGATATGGAATTTTAAAAAATTGTTGCTTTTTCCTTGCAATTGCAATATTCTATTTCACAATTTGTTTCTCGCAATTCTGAAGAAAAAAGTAAGACTTGCATGATATAAACAGAATTGGGAGATATAAACTCAGAATTCTTCCCACCACAGAAAGAAAATAATAAATAAAACAGTTAATTGAAAGCTTTTTTCTTGCAATTGCAAGTTTATATCCCACAGTTCAGATTTGTTTTCAGAAAAAAATCTGAATTGTGAGATAAAAAAAACAAGCTGCCATACATTTACAGTAATGCACTTATAATAGAAGTCTATGGGGCAAGACATTAAACAGTCTATTGTTCATATCTTTACGCATTTTGAGAGAAAGTTACAGGGTTTACCGACTTTATATGGTCATGAGAGAAAGACGGATTATTACTTTGACTATAACAGACAAAATTAGCAATTTTATCATGCGGCTATATTTAAAACTGTGTGTATTTTAACATTTATGTGCAGTTTCTTTTACCAAAGACTTCCAATTGAACCCATGATATTCCTTTAAATTGCCAAAATGTTTACGTATTAGAAATGTAAGTTTTTATTAAGAGTTATATCGCCAAAGCAATAGTTTGTAAATATCCTACTAATGCTTTTTGAGTTATATTTATCAGAGATGTAGTTGGTTACTGTATATTCGAGATTTTGAAATGGGAACAGTGAGACAGTTTTAGGGGGAATCTGAATGGCTTCCATCACTGGTTTTTCTTTAAGGTCAATGCATATATTGTAACCCTGCTTGAGTGACACACGTTACCATAACTGCTGTGAAACTCTGAAAACTGGCACGGATCTTAATCACTGTGGCTAAAGTACCAAGACTTCGCAGATGTTTTGTGGTTCAAAAGGGCCATGACTGGTTTGTTTGAAGAAAAGTGACTCTTTCAGTGGGTCAAGCTTTTCCCTGTGCATGCATACTGTAGCTTGGATTTATCATTTATAGGAGTAATGTTTTTCTCTGTAGTTGTGTCTTAACAGGCAAACATATGTTCGCAGGCTGGATCAAGGTCTTAGGGATAGATCATTTCATTCATACAATCTTTAATAATGGTTTTCATCCCATTTCAGGGTCATTATGAAAGAATTTGTAGCTATTCAAAAAATTCAGCATCTGATATTTTGTCTGTTTGTTGCAACATAATGGCAAGTTGGGCTTTCTGCATTACGAAAAGGTGCTTGTTCATTCCCAGCTTGGCTGCACGTCTTACACGTCACCGTTTTCAAAAAGTTTTGTTATTAAATAATAAAAAAGGGTCTATTTCAATCCATGGCTGCTTTTGTTTCTAAAACTCTGTGTACAGTAATGTGTAATATTTATGCTTTTTATTTTATCTTAGATTTTATGTTATTTAATTGCTAAATAAGAATATTATTTAACATTTAATTTGTATATATATATATATATACAGTATATATACATACAACACCTTTCCCTTGCCAGGAAAAATGACACATTCATGTATAGTCCTACGCTTAATGTATTCAGTGACATTTAACCCCAAAATAGAAAAAAAAAGAAAGAAAGAAAATCAAGCCTGTTATTGGACCATAAATAATAATACATTTCTGCCCAAATTATTGCAATGTCTTTTAGAGATTTTTTTTTTGGTGTATTACCACAATTTTTGTCATTAGATTCTCATTACAAAAACACAGAACACATTTTTTATGTTACTGTTAAAAATGCATACATTCTCAAATTAATAATTTTGCATCACAGTAATTTTTTTTTGTTATAAAATTTAGAATATGAAGTTGCCCAACTGTTTGAAAACGCTAAATTAAAACACTGATCACTCGAATGCAGAAACTGAATGTAGAAACAGAACTGACAGGCTTAAACAGTGGTCCATTATTAATCTTCAACGCTTTCTCCTCTCAATATTTTGGTTCCCTTTCCAAGTGTTCTTTGGCTGAGCTCAGATGAGTCAACTGAAATTAATGAGGGTTAATATTTGACCATGTTCGGTACAAAAATGCAGTCGCCAGCAATCTCAAGCACAGCTTATAGCCCGACGCATCTTGACGTCATCCTCGTGCTAAAGAAACGCACCATCAATCATACAACACAGTTTCTGTACATTTAAACTATTAAGTTTCTAGATCATTACACAGTGTACGGACCACCTAAAATAGTTTCCCATGTTTGCTCTAGATGCTCAGGGTGCCGAGCGCTGGCACAAGAGTGACGGCTTCAGGTATGTTCTGATTTTGATCATGTGACCCTCTGCCCTGTAAAACCTTCTGTCTATGTCTCTCCTCCTGACGTTTCTTCTTTTCTAGGTGCTGTTGCTCTTTCCTTTCCTGGGGGGGGGGGGCAAGAAAACTTTATTATTATTAAACTTTATACTTTTCATCCAGGATTATTGTAGTTAGCTAAAAGTAAAACCATGAAAAAATTACTTGAAATAAAATAAACTTTAACTGAGCTTTTCATTTAGAAATAAAGATCAATAGAAACTATATAAACTATATATTTTTTAAAAATGATTAAAAAACTAATAGAAATGACAAAAACAACAATCACTAAGACTTTAAAATTAAAATCTAAATTAGTTAGATTTTTTTATTGTTATGTTTTAGTTCAGTTATTTTCCATTTAATTTTGTTAATTATTTTAAACTTAAAATGAAACTAAACAAAAATGATCAATTTTGCCTTGGAAACTAACTAACTAAAATAAAATTAGATTTTGTTTTTTATATATATATTTTGTCAGTTTTCATTTACTTTATTTCAATTAATTAATTTTTTTAAACTTTATTTCAGCTAGTTAGCAAAGCAATATTTCTCATTTTCATTTAGTTTGATAACTAAAACTGAAATAAAATGTAATAAAAACTAGACTTTTTTTTGTAAAGATATCTAATAAAAGCTCATTAAAATGACAAAAACACTACTAAATTACTAAAACTTTAATTTAATTAATTATTCAAATAAAAACAGAAAATATAAAAATTTAAAAACTAATTCAAAATACTAATAAAAACTAGTATTTTCCCAATGATACTAAAATAACACTCGTATGTCACCTTGGGTTTATGTGAGATGCTGCCCTCTGTTGACGATGTGTTTTCACTACATTCTGCCTGCATGCCTTGACATAAAGGTTGTGTCCCTGAGGCACAATCTCTCTGTGATGATAGGTTGTTTAGTTCAGACTCCAACCAATCACTGTGGCATGTCTGTGATGTGGCCCTTGATTGACACAGATTGTCTGATTGACCTGCGGACACAAAACAGTGGTGAGAAGAGCATATTGAGAGTGAAGATAATTGATTTACAGTGATTTAAATATTGACTGACTATGGGCACAGAGAATGCTCAAGATCAGCTCTTCGTCTTCAGAGTGAGAGCGTGAGGGAGAGGCGCCTCTCGACTTTTCCTTCTGACCGTCTCCAAAGCGTCTGCAATTATTCAGACTCTATCCAAAGAAAAAAGAAGACATTTACCTTCAGAAATAACTAATAAGTGGTTCATGTATGTGACTGATGTTTAGCCGGACAGACCTCTATACGCAGATGTGCCGGACTCTCAGAGTTGTCTCCAGTCTTTCGGACGCTGTCATAATGGTCTCCATAGCGATATGCGATGTGTAGCTCACGGCTTGAAGGCTTCTCTGTACCATTTATCTGCATGTATTAAACCATTAATAGAAACACACATTAGAATGACATGAATCAAAGACATAAATGCTCCATCACCTCCCACAATGGAGCGTTCAGCTGATGAATAACCACTTTCAATTGCTGGCTGCGAGCGAAGGCCACGATGGCGTCGTTACCGGCAAACGTGCCCAGCTGTGAGAGGTTTGACACTGAAAAAGAAAAACGACAAAGATTTCTTCAAAGACATGAGCTTTCCTGCAGAAAGACACTAGAATAGCTGGATAACAGCACTCATTTTATATATATATATATATACATACATATATAATAACTAAATGTTTTTTTCATTTTAACATTGTTTTTATATATATATTTTACATTTTCTCTGGTTGTTTACTGGTTCCAGTGTTATTGTAGTATCATTAATACAGCATTAAAGTACTGATATCATATTTCATATATCAAATTAGGTTTTAGTATTTTAAATAATATATATATATTTTTATGTATATATATATATATATATACTATTTTTATTTTAATCTTCTTTAAATTGTGTTTTTGTCAGTTTTATTAGTTTAAAAATATGTGTGTCTATTTAGTTATTTGTCTAGTTTAGTTATTAGTATGTTTCTATTTAGTTATTTTTTTTATTTCAGTTATAGTTTAGTTATTTTCAACTTAAACTTCAACTGAAACTCAACAAAAATGCTGCCTTGGAAACTGGCCAAAATAAAATAGGTTTAGTTTAGTTTAGTTTTTTTTTTGTTTTTTCAATTTGGTTTATTTCATATTTTTGTTATTGCAAGTTATAACTAAAATTGTTTTTATTTTTTTCTGGTTGTTTATAGGCTCCAGTGTTATTGTAGTATCATTAATACAGTATTACAGTACTGATATCATATTTTGAATTAGTTTTTATTTTTATACTTTCCATTTTTATGTTAATCTTTAAGTTTGAGTAATTCTGATGTGTGGCAGTTTTATTATTCTAAAACGATGTGTATATTTAAGTTTATATTTTTTTTAATTGTAATTTTATTATTGTCAACTGAACAAACTAAACGAAAATGAGAAATGCTGCCTTGGAAACTAACTGAATTAAAATAAGTTTAGGGGGGTTTTATCTTATTTCATTTAATGTAAATGTTTCTTAATAGTTTTAGTTAACAATAAAACATGTCAAATGTCAGTAGCACAAAAGTATGACAAAATATAAGTATGAGCAACATTAATAGTGATGCTTGACTACGCAAACACTACTAATTAACTATTAACAGTGAGGTTAATCTGACTGGTTTAAGTTGAAGTTTCCGTTTATTTTAGTCCAGTTTCTTTTGGATTTATGGCAACACACAAACACACTTTAGAGACTTCTCTTACAATGCTCTGTGAATGGCATGTCATCTTCAACGAAGGGCTCGAAGTCCTGGCTGTGTGTCATCATGTACTGTACCGTCTCCTGCCGCAGACGCAGGTGACCTCGCGAATGTCCCTCCAGCTGATCTCCAAGAGCCCGGAACAAACAGTTCCTGCGGGAGAACGTGAGAAGCAGAAGCTTGACTCCTTAAAGATCTCAGTCTGTATATGACAGTCATCTGTATCCTCCACACATACCCGTCTCCAGGCACCTCGCGGAGTTTGAGCCCCAGAGCCTGAAGCTGGTTGGAGAAGCTGACAAACTCCTCTCCATCATCTCCTCCTGGAGGTCTGTTCTTCCTGTCTTTGGCCAGAGCCCGGCGGGCCGCTCTCTCGTCTCGCTTCCTCTCTAATTCACACTTCCTGTTTCCCTTTATGGGCTTTCCTGACTGTTTCCTTGACATGATGGAGCTGCTGTACTACACAGTGTGTCATACGTCTATCTGTCACACACACAAAACTGTAACCTAAAAGAATCCCAACATCATCAAATCAGTTATGAAAAGGGGAATTGCTTAAAATGAACATTCAATATGACACAAACATAAAAAGTGCAGTAAATTCTTAATAGATTAAAACAGAATCACATATCTGTCTGACATGTCTGATGTCAGCTTTCTTTTTTAGATGTGTGTGGTGCCTAAACCCAAAATAACTTTAGATATAATAATAATGTTATTATTATTGTTATATTGCATTTGTTTGTCATATATTTATTTAATTGCAATCTTGATATTGACTGCTTTTACCCTAACAAAAATGTAGGCCTATTGTTGTAAATACGGTTAGCATGACTTTTTCTGCAAATATAATTTAATAATAAATGAATATAGGCTCACATTCAAACAGCTTGCAAAATATTTCTGTAATTTTCTGTGTGGTGCCTATAACCAAAAAAACTTTCAATATAATGATAACAATATTATTAACATTGCAGTTGTTTGATTTTTTTTTAATACGTACTAATAATAAACAGACTAATACTTAATAGTAAGCATATCCACTGTTATTCATCCTAGCAAATATTGAGCATGGTAAACATAGTTTCTTTTAGAATACCTCAAGTATTAAAGTTATTACGGCTGTAAAATCATAATCAATACGTGAATATTATACTGTAAAATCACAAAAAAATTATCTCTCATCCAATTGATGTAAACAGCTTCCAAATTATTTTTTTCTTTTCTTTTCTTTTTCTTTAAAGGGGTCATATGATGCTTTTTTAAAGATTATTATTTGGTGTAACAGAATGTTGACATGCTTTAATGTTAAAAAAACACATTCTTTTTCATATACTGTACATTATTGTAGGTCCTCTATGCCCCGCCTCTCTCAAACGCTTCGTTTTCTACAAAGTCCCTCCTTCCGACAAGCGCAGTCGGCTCTGATTGGCCAGCTGACCCAGTGCATTGTGATTGGCCGAACACCGCAAGCACTCGTCGGAAATGTAACGCCCCTTACCATAATCACGAGCTTCATCTTTCAAAATAAATGTAAAGACAGAGCCCGAAAGAGGAACAGAGTCGCGTGACAGACACAGTGATGACGCTGGTATGTGTTTGCAGTACACAAGCCACGGTTAAGACAGCTGACTCCACTGTGATGTGTCTTGCTCGCTCTCTCTCTCTCTCTCTCTCTCTCTCTCTCTCTCTCTCTCTCTCTTGCTCGCGCACACACACACACGATGTGCAAAACTCCGCATTTGAACAGTCAATAGCAAATACTTAAACTAATAACAAAACAGTAGCTGATTCAGAAGCGCCAGATTGTCATAGCAAAGTCAGAATGACCTCCTCTCCTAGGTTCATGAAACGGTCATCCATAAAATGCATTGCTGTTCTGTTGTAAGTAATCTTAATGCATCTACTTTCGGAAGGCCAAATAAAGTGCTTTTGCTTTCGCCTAGAAACACACAGCGTCTCCCTGACATGCTGCTTCAACACTAACTGCGGTTACTGAAACCACGCCTTCTTTCTTTGCGTGCACATTTGGGCGGCATTATGCAAATATTTCCACATAGTGAGGTAGATATGTGGGGGCGTGTTAGAACGAGCCGTTTTAGGGGGGCGTGGCAGAGTCTTAACTTTGATAAAGAATATCTCTTTGGTTTTGGGACTTTAGTCTTTGCAACTTCAGGGATCTTATCTATGCACAATCAGCTTGTAACACTCCAAAGAGTCCCCTTTAAAAAAATTACAGTCATGGCAAATATCACAATAATGAAAACAATTAGCTTGTTTCGTTCATTTTTGATTAGCTGTAATAAACATCTGTCAGATTTGGCAGCGTTTAAACGACAGAATGCGGAAGTCTGTTTAAGAGGAAAGACGATTAAAGTGTCACACAACTGTACTCACATTATCAGACGACAGTAAGAAACACTGAACGACAATCTGAACAGAAACTCTGAATCTCACTCTGAGCTGCCCAGGGTTTGTTTACTTCCTAAAGAACCAACTTCCAAAATAAAAGACACGACCGCGAACAGTAAAAAAAAAAAAAGTTTTAAATTAGAAAATTTCTCAACGTAAATTAATGCATATAGGATCACCTTTAAACAGTGTAACAAGCTTTCGAAATATTTGTTATTTTTTCTTTTTTTATGGGTGGCAAGAAAAACCTTAAAATAAAATTAGAATTTAACTGATTAAATAAATATTTATTATTGTTGTTGGTGTTGAGTATATATTTAATCGCAATCTATTGAATTAAGATATATAATCATTTTTTTACAGATATAAAAGATCATTTAAAGAATAAACAAATGTATTATCTGACGAATGTGAATCATAAGTTCAATTCTGAATCGTAGTCCAGCTATAATTAATAATATTATTAACGTTTTTTTTAAATGCCGTCTTTTCCTACTTGGATGAGAAACTGTTTTTCTTTTTTAGTGTATTTTAATCACCATCACTTCACTTTTTTCTGAAAGAAAGTAAACGGAGAAGATTTGATTTATTAGATTTGTCTTTATGTGAAAATCAATTCCACAAAAACACAACTGAGAAAATAAGACATGATTAGGAGTCATAATATCATCTACAACTGAGTGACAGAGATTGAGCAAACATGTATTTATTTTATGGCAGTAAAAGATAGCACACTCTACACATGACTTTTATACATCCTTTATAAATAGTTATCATCTGATAAAAAATCATTACACCATCTAAACAGACATACGTAACAGTCGTAAACTTTCAAGTCATTATTTCCCTCTCCCAGCTGCTCTGCAGCTCTCAGTACAATAACTGTGTCCGTACGGTTCCTCATGACGTGTTCCTCACGGGTCAGTTCACAAGCAGAACTTCATTCTGGCTCAACTTTCTTCACGTAGGCATTAACAGCAGCAGGGCACGAGCCTTATGAAGCGTGAGCTCTGAAACTCATCCGCCTCTGTCTGTTCACCGGCAGTTCCTTAGCCTTGGCCTCCATCGCCGCATCCATCTCATCATCTTCAGGGATGCTGGTTTGTGGCTCCTGGACCTGCTCCTTCACCGGTATGAGCTCCCGCACCTTCAGCATCTCAAAGTCAGGCTCCTCGTGGTCAGGGAAGAGAGAACAGGCCACCTGGACCACGCCGCTCACCATTCCCAGGACGGCGAACGTGCCGCCCACTAGATAGACCTTCAGAGAGCCCTTGGAGGGACCGGCACTCAGCATTTCCTTAACAAAAGGGATGAGCTCATGCATAGCGTCCATATTAGTTGCAGTTACGTCTGTGAAAGAAAAAAAAATCAAAGGTCACGATATGAATATATGATCAAATTAACTAAATTATTGTAGTAAACAGTGCCGGTAAGAAGCATAATCTTAAAAACAACATGAAATACTGTTCGTATTTAATTCAAATATTTAATTCAAGGGATTAAATGGGTATAATTCATTCAAGGGATATTTAATTCAAATATTTTTTACATTGTGCATTTATAAGAACAGGAACATGCTGCCGTGGAGTATTTTTTCAGAGATAAATAGCAGGGTTTTTATAGTTACTAAAACTGAAACTTTAATCAAAACCATTTAACAAAACAATCATTACTTGAAATAAAATAAATGTTAAAAATGTTAAACCATTTCTCATTTTAATTTAACCTGATGTACTAAAACTGACATATAAATAAATGTTTATATAAGCACATATCTCCATATAATATAAACATATATAAAAACAACAACAAAACTACTAAAAACACAGCTTAAGTTACTAAAACTTTAAAAATTAAAAATAAAACATGACAAAAACTGATTCAAAATATTAATAACAACTGTATCTCGATGATACTAAAATAGCACTGGTAAATAAAATATATAAGATGTAACAGTTTTATTAATTGAACACCATGTATTTTTTTATTTTTCACTGAAAAACTTTTAAATGTGAGCTCTGACTTATTCACTTTTAAAAAAAATTGTAAAATACATTTAACAGTGTTTTTTCTGTAAAATTAAAAAGTCCATTATATCTATTACAATTTTTCACCATTTAGAGTAAGACAAATAATAAATAACATAATAAATAATAACTAACAATAGCATTATAATAGTATTTTACAGTTTAAATTGCAAGCATTCTTAAAGTGTATGTCAAATTTTACAGCGTCAAAGCAGAAAATAATATATATATATATATATATATATATATAAATAAATAAGAAAAAATGTACTCACTTGTAAAACGTTGAAGAACCTAATAAGTCCTTGTTAAGGTTTATCCTCAGAGTTTCAGGGGGTGTTGGAGGTTCAGACGCTCTGTCTTTTTAAGGCCAGCGGTCCTCTATCCACATCCACTATACATGAATATTCATGAGGCTGGAGAGGAGATGCAACTTTTGTCCAAGTTGCTTCATGTGAGCGGTGAATGACTGCAGGGCTGCTGGCGAATGATGAAACCTGTCTGCCAAGTTTCACAAAGACAACGAGGAGATGTGTCTCTTGATCACCATAAAACACACTGTACGGGAAGATCGTGTATAAACAGACTGAAGCAGTGAGGACTTGATGACCCAGCTGTGATGGTTAATACTAAACTCAAAGTTCACAGATCAGTTTTATGGTGTGATAAGGAGAGGTAAAACACTTTACCGAGTGATGTTTAACAACAACCTTGGCCTCCATCGCCGCATCCATCTCGTCATCTTCAGGGATGCTGGTTTGTGGCTCCTGGACCTGCTCCTTCACCGGTATGAGCTCCCGCACCTTCAGCATCTCAAAGCCAGGCTCCTCGTGGTCAGGGAAGAGAGAACAGGCCACCTGGACCACGCCGCTCACCATTCCCAGGACGGCGAACGTGCCGCCCACTAGATAGACCTTCAGAGAGCCCTTGGAGGGACCGGCACTCAGCATTTCCTTAACAAAAGGGATGAGCTCATGCATAGCGTCCATATTAGTTGCAGTTACGTCTGTGAAAGAAAAAAAAATCAAAGGTCACGATATGAATATATGATCAAATTAACTAAATTATTGTAGTAAACAGTGCCGGTAAGAAGCATAATCTTAAAAACAACATGAAATACTGTTCGTATTTAATTCAAATATTTAATTCAAGGGATTAAATGGGTATAATTCATTCAAGGGATATTTAATTCAAATATTTTTTACATTGTGCATTTATAAGAACAGGAACATGCTGCCGTGGAGTATTTTTTCAGAGATAAATAGCAGGGTTTTTATAGTTACTAAAACTGAAACTTTAATCAAAACCATTTAACAAAACAATCATTACTTGAAATAAAATAAATGTTAAAAATGTTAAACCATTTCTCATTTTAATTTAACCTGATGTACTAAAACTGACATATAAATAAATGTTTATATAAGCACATATCTCCATATAATATAAACATATATAAAAACAACAACAAAACTACTAAAAACACAGCTTAAGTTACTAAAACTTTAAAAATTAAAAATAAAACATGACAAAAACTGATTCAAAATATTAATAACAACTGTATCTCGATGATACTAAAATAGCACTGGTAAATAAAATATATAAGATGTAACAGTTTTATTAATTGAACACCATGTATTTTTTTATTTTTCACTGAAAAACTTTTAAATGTGAGCTCTGACTTATTCACTTTTAAAAAAAATTGTAAAATACATTTAACAGTGTTTTTTCTGTAAAATTAAAAAGTCCATTATATCTATTACAATTTTTCACCATTTAGAGTAAGACAAATAATAAATAACATAATAAATAATAACTAACAATAGCATTATAATAGTATTTTACAGTTTAAATTGCAAGCATTCTTAAAGTGTATGTCAAATTTTACAGCGTCAAAGCAGAAAATAATATATATATATATATATATATATATAAATAAATAAGAAAAAATGTACTCACTTGTAAAACGTTGAAGAACCTAATAAGTCCTTGTTAAGGTTTATCCTCAGAGTTTCAGGGGGTGTTGGAGGTTCAGACGCTCTGTCTTTTTAAGGCCAGCGGTCCTCTATCCACATCCACTATACATGAATATTCATGAGGCTGGAGAGGAGATGCAACTTTTGTCCAAGTTGCTTCATGTGAGCGGTGAATGACTGCAGGGCTGCTGGCGAATGATGAAACCTGTCTGCCAAGTTTCACAAAGACAACGAGGAGATGTGTCTCTTGATCACCATAAAACACACTGTACGGGAAGATCGTGTATAAACAGACTGAAGCAGTGAGGACTTGATGACCCAGCTGTGATGGTTAATACTAAACTCAAAGTTCACAGATCAGTTTTATGGTGTGATAAGGAGAGGTAAAACACTTTACCGAGTGATGTTTAACAACAAATACTCATTTGTCCAGATGAAGGCAGATGATATGACATGTAAACACAGACATGTGAGCAATAAAAAAACATTCAACTGCAAAAATGCACTTTACTTTTATATATACCATGATAATGAACATTTACTATATTCATATACCACAAATAAATATGTTAATTCAGGATATTTCAATGAAGAGAATAGTATTGGTGCATGTCCAAAAAGGACAGTTTTTCTTTAGTACAATGTGCAATTAAAAATAGCATTACTGTTGTACCTTAGTAAGTAAAGGGAAATAAAAATGCATGTCATTTACTGTCAGAAAACTATAACGTTAAGGTAAGTTCCTACAGTTTGTTGTTTTTAGAGAGGAAATTAGACTATGATAAGAGCCGCCACATCATTGGCTGTAATGACCTTTACTCCACTGCCCTCTGCCCATGCTCCTACATTAACAAACCTGATGAATGAAAGCAAAATGTCCTTCAAATAAAAAAAGTTAAATATTAATATTGCAGCAGAGCTGCATTTTTAAAAATGTAATAAAATCCATTTAAATATAATTATATTTTACTTACATTTAGTCATTTAGCAGACACTTTTATCTAAAGCGACTTACTAATGAGGACAACGGAAGTAATCAAAATCAACAAAAGAGCAATAATAAGCAAGTGCTATAACAA